TTGCCTTAAGGTAGTCAGTCACTCAAAGGCAGACCGAGCTTCCCATTAGAGACCCCAGTGGGTGTGGCACCACAGACCCTGTGATTGTGTCCTGCCTGTAAAACCACATGCATAGTTGTCTGTGGGGCATCGTAGAGAATTCAGAAGTGAGTCTTGATCCCTGAGTTTGATCCGGCAAAGGGAGGCGGGGCTCTCCTTCTGGAGGCCCAGCTGCCCGCAGCAGGCTGTTGAGATAGCGAGGGCTCGGGTGGGTAGATGAAGCAAGTCCTGGCAACCGGGGCAGATCTGGGACAGGTGGGCGGGGTCAGCTAGAAACACAGCCAAGGGGGACTCTGGACCTCAGAGGATTGGTTCCAAGCTGTTGACATTTCCCATTTCAGATCCTGGAGTTGAGGATGGGCTTCATCCTGACAGTTTGGGAGCTGAAGGAGGAGAGTCCAGTGGTTCCAGCCATGCCGGGAGAAGGGAAGCAGGGACTGGAAGCCAGGAGTGGGGCACTCAGCTGTCTTTAGCCTTTTCTCTTACTAGGTTACGACGATGCCGCTAGATCTTTCATCTGAACCCAGACTGGGTGCAATGACCTCTTCTCCGAAACACCTCCCTTGATGTTCTCAGGCAGATTTTGGAGGACTGAGGGTGGAGGAGAGTCCTGAGCACTTGCAACATTCTGAATTTCACGATAGTTCACTTGGGCTTGTCTTTCGTCTCAGTGGTTGTTAGCTCCTTCAGAATAGTGGTCGTGAAATCAGAAGCAGCAAACACAGCTGAGCTGTCATTTACTCAGCGCTTACCATGTGCCAAATGCCGAAACCAAACCAGGATGGGGTGCTGTCATCTCCACTTTACAGACCACTGAACTGGAGTTCTAGGTCAGGTAGCTGTTCAGGTCCTCGGAGCTGGTGCGTGGAGGGGCCAGGAGTCAGACCCAGATCTGCCTGGCTCCACACCCCGCGTGCTGTCACCTAGACTGGCGGCTCTCAACCTGGGGCATATACCTCATCCTCAAATATCGGGCTGCATTTCACGTAGGCCGGCATTCGGACATCTGTACATTTTAACCACCGCAGGCAGGGCTGAGGACCCCGGCCTTGTCATGTCGTCTGGTCTGTGTTTTCGCCCCTGGCATCCAGTTCAGCACTCACCATGAGAGAGGTTAGACATGTTTATGGGTTAGTTCAGAGGGTGTTTGTGGCTGGAGGGAAGAGCAGGAGCTGATGCCACTGGAAGTTATAAAGTGTCGCCTTAGAGGCTGAAATTGAACATTTGATGTTTATCAGAAGACTTAAGGTTCAGAAGGCTGCTTTTCATTACACGCTTAGAGAAGTTTCCTGAACCTTCTATTGCAGGTGGCGTGGTCCTCAACCCAGCGTATTACGGCATGCCTGGCCATACCAATATCATGATCCATGAAGTGGGACATGTCCTGGGACTCTACCACGTCTTCAAAGGGGTCAGTGAGAGAGAATCCTGTGATGATCCCTGTAGGGAGACGGTGCCATCCATGGAGACGGGAGACCTCTGTGCCGACACTGCCCCTACTCCCAAGAGTAAGCTGTGCCAGGACCCAGAGCCTACCAATGACACCTGTGGCGTCACCCACTTCCCAGGAGCTCCGTTCAGCAACTATATGAGCTATACAGGTATCACGACGGTCTCGACGTGTTTGTCTTCTATTAAGATGACATGGGTGACTTTGGGGGCTGGGAGGGTGGAGGTGTGGGAGCTGGAGAGGATTATCAAGCAGCCATTTGTGCCAGGGAGTTGAAGTATGTTTATCATGGCGTATTCTTTTTTGTCACGTCTTTGAAGACCTTAAAGAAATATCGAAGTATTAAAGGGTCTTCTTGACTCGATTCTCCTCCGCTAGAGATTAAAAGTAAAACACGCGTCTGTCTTGGATGGTTGAAAAGGGAACAAAGCCAAAAGCTCTCCTGAGACCCCTTTGACCTCTAGGACTTGATTATTCTTGTTCTTGCCCACATCCATAGTCATTTATTCTGAAAGAAAGTGTAATAGTGATGGGAAAAGAGGTTTTTGGGTCTTTGTACTATTTTTGGAGTTGGTCAAGAAAATGGCCTTGGTTAATTTTAAGCTCAGGATTTCTTTTCATTTTACGCTATTTTAAAGTATCAGATTCTCTTCTTTCAACAGTAGCCAAGTGTTGATTCTGAGCTTCCCCACATGGTGTCATCTCATTAAAAAAAACCAACACTTTCTTGGCCTTGGGGACAACTATATTTCCTGTCCTTGTCGTCCTGGATTATGCTTCTTCCTTGTCCCCTCACATCTTCCTTGTTTCTGGCAAAAAAGTAATACATACTGGACTCAAATTTATCATTTATCCCTAAAAAGGACTGATTTGATTTCATGACTTATTCCAGCGGCAGAGGAAGGGGGTAATTTTTCTATAAGATTTAGGGGCTTGTTTGGTGATAAGTTCTAGCACTATCTAAACATATATAAATATATTATATACAAACACACACACACACACACACATAAACTATAAGACCTTGGTCATGCCTTTGAAGGGAAGAATGAGTAGTGACTTGGTCCCAGCTGCAAACTGTCAATCAATATATTCCTATCAAAGTCTCATCTTGGTGTACAATTGAGCTGAATCAAGGACCAGCATCCCTTCCTCCCTAACCAGGACCCAGCGGCCCTTGCCGGGGTAGGGAGACCAGACATTGCAGGGCAGAGCTGTTGAGGTAAGGCCTTTGAAGAGGGGAGAGGGAACTTTTAACAAGCAGGGGGCCGTGCGTGGTGTGCTTTCATTGAAAAAGGCCCTAAAACTAGGCTAACTCCCTTTCTAACACTACTAGGGAGATTTTGCAAGCTCCAAAAGTCATGTCGAGACCACCATGCCCAGTCCTGTGGCCTCCTTGACATTTTGGCGCTGTCTCCCCTGAGCGTCCCCGCTGAGTACTCACTAATCCTGGCCAAATTTACTGGGCATAAAGCAGGTGTCTGCAACTCCACAAATGTTCCCAAATAAAAAGGCCGTGTGCTGAAACACTGCCATCTTGTGGTTTCCCGCGTCAGCAGCCATCAGCTCAGAGCAGCGTTGTACCCCTGGCCTCACCCTGGGGCAGTCCAGCCAAGGACCCTGCTTTAGAGAGAAACAGGTGCCGCTCTCTGCCTTCTCTTTCCCACTCCCAGCTTAGACACCTTCTGAAACAGAATACATTTGTTCGTTCAACAGGTGTTTACGGAGCCTAACAGGTGTGGGGTGTGGTGTTAGGTGCTGGTGACTCGGGTGTGAACAGGCAGAAGTTATCCCTGCCTTGGTGGATTTTGCAGCTTAAAATCTCCATCTCTCCTGTTCCCTTTTCTCTCTCCACAGATGATGACTGCACTGACAGCTTCACTCCTAACCAGGTGGCCCGAATGCATTGCTATTTGGACCTTGTATACCAACAGTGGAGTCAAAGCCAGAAGCCCACCCCCATTCCCATCCCCCCCATGGTCGTCGGGCAGACCGGCAAGTCCCTTACGATCCACTGGCTGCCTCCGATCAGTGGAGTCGTGTATGACAGGTGAGAAAGGCACTGGCCATGGCCGAGCTGCTGTACTTCCTCTGTGGCATTTCTTATGCGCAAGGGGAAGGATGTGTTCTCACAGCCCAGGGTTGGAACTCTGAACAGGTGCACCGCTGCTGAGGGCTGCCTCCTCCGTCCTGCTCAGTCCTCACCTTCCGTGGTGAGAGGCCCGTCGCGTGTGCTCGCTCCATGGCGAGGGGCCTATCAGATGTTTCTTTCGGAATGTCACATCTGGCAGGCTTCCGGGAGCTGTGTAAAGGTCAACAGATATGATAAAGATGAACTGACAAAACTGAGATGGCATTTGCCACCTGTCCAGCCCAGCTATTCCTCCTTGGTGTAAGGGTGGGACAGAGGCTTGCTACTTGCACAGGGGGTTGGAGGGGAGGGGCGTGTTCCTCCAGGCAGTTCTGGGGGTGGGTGGCTGGCAGGCTACCCTCTTCCTCAAGCTATTCATCAGGGGTTCACTGGGTTATGTGGGCACTTCTAGTACTTTCCCTGCCTCCTGTTGGACCTAGTGCCTACCCCACGTATGGCTGCTGTCTCGTGGAATTACTATTATCCGTTCCTTTTTCTATCTGCCCTACTCAAATAGCAGCTCCTTGGGGACAGGTCTATTTTTCGTTTCTTTGTCTCTTAGCCTGCCACTAGAGACACCTACCACATGCTTATGGAAGAGAATCATATCTAAAATTAGTTTTTTTTTTTTCATCCTTTGCATATTGATGTAAATGGACACCAGGGAAATTTTTGTAAAAAGGAGAGAAGTTAGTATAAAGATGACACCTGACAGTTGATGGGCGGATGGAGGCGTATGGTTTAACCGAGAAGGTCTAGGACCCCATCCGTGACCCGTGCAGGCTCTCGGCTCTCAGAACCTGCCTCCACACTCTAAATCACAGGGGTCGCTGTTGTCTCTTCGGTCACTCTGTGCGTGAAGCATCGTGCTAGATCTCTGACCTGCAAATGTCTTCTTCGGTCATTGCAGTAAGCATGACTCCTGCTATATGAGTGAGAAATTGGAGGCATAGAGAAGCACACGGTGCTGACCCAAGATACCACAATAAATAGGGGTGAATTCGGGGCACCCACTGGAATTTCAGAAATGGGGAACATGGAACATATTAGTTCTTTTAATTTAGAGCTTTCCCGTTTATCAGGCAGATACCCCTCATCTGTGTGTCACGCTTCCCCTCTGTGTGTCAGGGGAAAGCTGAGGAGCTGGCTGTCCCTGGAGCATATTTCCACGTACTCCAGTTTCGCCGAAAGCCGAGACAGACGACAGACGGGGAGCAACGGGAGGGGGAGGGAGCAAGTGAATCATTTTTCCAAGTGGTGTTCCCGGCCTTTTGACATCTTGGCACCTGTCCTTGAAACCCTGATGACATCACTTGGAGCCCGCAATCCCGTCAAGCACTTTCGATTGTCATCAGCGCCCAGGCTCTCGTGGGCTCCCCTTGTGAGTCGGCACGTGTCTGTGTAACGTGTGTCAGACCCTTCTGCAGCAAGCGTGACCTCGTGCAGCTCCGGTCACACGAGCGAGTCCTCCGTGCTCATGCGCAAACCCAGAGCGTTACATCCGTTTCTGCAGCACATGTAAACAGTTTACTCTCTCGGTCCTCTCTCTGGTGCAAGCGTTACGCTAGAGCAGACACCAGTGCTGGCTCGCCGGGAGTCTGCTGGCAGAAGAGGCTGCCACGTGCCTGCTTTCCTCCGCTAGGTGGGCCACCGCGCGGAGGCCTCCCCACACGCGTGCCGGGGGCACTCACGTCACACGCCCAGCGATTTGTGTCAGGCGGGGAGCTCTGTTTATTCCTCCCCCCCGTGCGTATTTGGGATGCTTATGTCAGACGGGAAGGAGCCCAACCACATGCTCGGCCGCGGCAGCGGCCCCAGGGGGACTGGTGCATCCGGGACGCGTGGTTTGGAGCCGAGGCCACACAGCAGTGAGTGCCCACCGCAGGCAGAGGCTGGACCGAACGCCGCCTGGTCGTCGCCAAAGTTCTGGACACTTGCTGGTGTTTGGGAACTTGCTCAAAGGAATCGAGCAGCTCGTTGTGAGCTTGGGCAATTTACTTAATCTCTCTGAGCCTGAGCGTCTTCGTCTGTAAACATAGGGTTCTTACGGGGATTAGAAATAACTTATGAAAAGCGCCTGGTGGCACCGTGCCCGGTATAGGAGGCGCTGGCAGCCTAACTGTGACCCCTCCTCACCAATACTGTTTTTCTAGAATATCTTAAAAGATTCTACTTTTCTCCCCTACCTGGTGAGAGACCTCGATTCGATGCCTCCATTTTTAGCTGCATCGTTCACAGTTGTGGCTTCTGAAAAGAGCCACAGCATCAGAGACAAGCCTCATCCAGTGACTTCCCTCGTTATTTAGCTGTCGTCACCTCTTCTAGCTCCAGTTACCCCAGACGTGGTGTTCGAAGAGCTCTCCATCGGCGTAGGAATAGTTTCAGAGGCACCCATATGACACGTTCCCCAGAGGGACTGCGGGGCCGGTCCCCATGCCCGCTGCGGGGCGTAGAGAGACTTGGGCTCTCCCTGGACCTGCTCACAGGCAGAGGGGAGGGAATGGGGACCGGGATTCTCCGTTCCACAGAGCGATGCCCTCAGATGGGAGCCCGAAGGTGCAGTGGGTGCCCCGGGGAGAGAGTGCCGGCTGCTCAGAGGTCAGACCGAATGCCACGACGGAGGTCACATTTGGACGGACCTCGAAGGGGGCGTAGGAGTTTGCCAAGCAGAGGGTCTTGGAAAGGCTATTGGGCAGGAGAGAGAACGGCAGGTTTCACAGAGCCGTGTGAAGGGCGTGAAGTATTCGTGGAATGATGTTCAGTTCACGGTGGTGGGAACGTAAAGTTCACGACAGAACTGACGTTGGTGAGGCTTGTGGCGGAGCTGTCTTGCGAAGGGCCCAGGGTCATGAGAAGGAGCTCGGCCGTGTCCCCACAGACGACGGAGAGCCCGGGAGTGTTACATTTCACACGACTTTTATTTTATGTATGGGATTAAAAGTAGGGAGTTTAAAACACGAGGCCGCGTATAGCTAATAATTTCACTCAAAACTTGTCTGATTTAGGTGGGAGAAAGCAGGGGGGCTTTGGAGGACTCATCGAGAGTCAGCGTAGAAGGGAGTTTCTTGTCGAAAGATTCAGATTGCAATGATTTTGTGTTGAACGCTCGAGGACGGAACCTGCCCACTTTCATGTCCGCTGGCCTCCTTTACGACTTCGCTAACAACTTCTGCTTCGCAGCCTTGAGATTTTCCGTGTCGCTGTGAATTCCGCCAGGATGAGGTCTACACAAGAAGGAATTGAGTTGAGGGAGAGTTGTATTCCCCCTAGAGTCTCGCTACCTGTCACCGTTCCCCCATTCCCCAAAGTCCTTCTGAATTTCGTTATCACGTTTATCTGACGGAGTCCCCCCATCTCCCCCTCCATCTTCCCAGGAGCCTGGGCAGCGTGTGTGACGCCTGCGCCGAAGATGGGACGTTCCGTCAGTATGTACACTCGGCTTCCTCTAGGCGTGTGTGCGACTCCTCAGGTTACTGGACTCCAGAGGAGGCAGTGGGTAAAGGACCATGGCTTTTTCATCTATACTTTGGTGACCGCTGAGAATGGGGGTGGAGGTAAAGGAGGGAGAGGCGACCCCGCGTGCCTGTGTGTGTGTGTGTGTGTGTGTGTGTTTGTGAGTGTGTGTGAGATTTGCTGGGAAAGCCTCTGCCCGGTACCTCTGTGTGCCAGACATCCCACGTGTGCTTACCGTGGACACTCGTTGGTTGTGGCGAAGTAGAGGTCAGCGCGGAGGACGGAGGGATGGGTAAGTCAGCTGACCCGGGGGTGACCCCAGGATGAGATAGCTCAGGCCATCTAGAGCATCCTGGCTCATGGAGCAGCCTTGCCACGTGACAGCATAAGCTGACCTGTCACTCCTCTCAGGAGAGTAACAGCACATTGCAGGGAACGCTCCTGCGCTGGCGGAGCCCGTCTGTGCGGGGCGGGGATGGACTAGGTGTTCCAAACTGATCATTCTCATTTCGGCTGTTTTTATGAGTCTCTTATTCACTGGTACTGGTTGTGCTTTGGACGTGATCTACACTAGGCTTTGGGAGGGGGAAATGTTTTAACTCCCTTTTTCTGTTCCTCAACCCCACTTCTCAGTCACACATTCAGTCACATATATACATCAGTGCCTCTAATTAGAGCCTGAACGGTATCCAAACCCAAGTGCAGGAAACGCCGTTGGTGTGAGTGTCAGCGCCTTCTTCAGGCTTGAGTTGATCTACCATCTCCATTCGGTGTTTTCCTGGTTATCATCGTTCTGTTTTGCTATTTTTTAAGATCCTAAAAGCTACTCAGTGAGATGTGTTGGACCTGATCCTATTTGAGTGAGCCTGCACTCTTGACTCTGACAAGAAAAAGGGAACATCGGTCTAAGAGTCCACACTGTCTCCAAGAAATCTCCTTGGGCTCCCAGTTACCGGAACGGCAGGACCCTCGAGGAGACATCTGGAGGGAGACGGTTCACTAGGAAAGTGGCTGCAAAATTTACATCAGCCCTGCATCAGACTCGTTTGGAGATTGGGCATTTCGTAAAAGACTGTTTCTGTGGCAGACAGTTTGTCCTGTGCTAGCGTTTCAATGCCCATTTGACTCCTTGGCTTTGTACTTTTTTCTATATAATTCTTGGAAATTGTTCAAATTATTCGGTAGAGGTGAAAAGACTTAGAAGTCCTGGGTTCCGAGTCTCGTTGTGCTGTGTCTTGAGGCAATCCGAGCCAGTCAGCTTTCAGGGCCCTCACATATTTTAATCTGAGATCGTAATAAAAACTTTCCAAAGGACAATGCTGCTCTCACATCGGCTTTCAAAGGCCTTTACTCTGCCAGCATTTTCAGATGATTGTCAGAAAATGCTAAGAAATACTGGTCTTCTTCTGCTTTGAGAAGGTGAAGGACCAAGTCATGTTCGAAATATACACAGTGAAAGTAAGCGAACCCCCCAGCAGAGCATGCGCAAGTGCACGTATTCACAGATATGATCAAAGCGTATTTAATGGCCCTTCATGAACACCTGTTGAGAGCCAGCACTGTCTAAATGCTGTCGGGGATGGCAAACTGCTCTAGGCACAGTCCCTGCATTAATGTCATCTTCTGGGGGAGGGGCAGAGGGACATCCTTGGCTCCACAACCCAAAACAGCCCCCACCCCATCATTCTCCAGTTCTCATTTTTCCTCAACGATGCCGTTATCACTTGGAATTATACTTACACCTCTTCATCTGTGGCTGCACCTCCTGTAAGATATATAACGGCAAGAACTTTTATTTCTCTTGTTCCTCTAGGTTAGTGCCAAATATAAACAGGTACACAGTCAAATTTTGTTGAATGAACAAATTAATGAATGGATCCACAGTATAGGTAAAAAACAATTAGGACCGTAACTTGTAACACACACACACACACACACACACACACGTATACTTGAGCTTGTTTCCTCTGGGTTTTGGGACATTCTTTATTTTCCAAATTCTGCAGGGCTAATAATACTATTTTTGCAAATGCAGTTTGCACATGTTTCTATGGAATATTGTATAGCTCTACACTAACTTAGTAAGGCAGGGGTGGAATCGTACTTATATTATAAATGAGGAAATCGGGGCTTAAAAAGACCAGCCACAGCGCCTATTACAGCCGGACTCGATGGATTCCTAATTTAGCATTCTCTTTCAATTCCCCTCACGTGATATAAAAGAAAAGCATCTCGTTTGCATTGTTTTTCCACAGAGCTACCCTTAATATGTTGGCGATATTTGAGTTTTCACGATTACATTTTTGCTTGGCTACTGAGTCCCCATTTTTTCCCCACTCAAGAATTAGTGTTTCTATTTCCTGCCTACTGTTCTCTCCATGTAGCGACCGACCTATGCTCACACACACGTGAGCCGAAAAGATTTCAACGTATGGTTTTACGATTCGGCGACAGTGATTTGGCAGGGCCGCTCAGGTGCAATCTTAGGGAATGAAAGAAGTTTGTGAAGCGCCTACCTAGTTAGCCAGATGTAGCGTCAGGCTGAAACAAACATAAAACAGGGCTTTGGAAGCACCGATGTATCATAAATTATTAATAAACTAAGCGCAAAGAACTCTCCTCTGCTCAAGGATTCGTGAAGGCCATGACTTACCTTCTCTGCATCGGCCTCGCGTTCCATCTAAGGTCTGGGCTGCTCCATTCCCAGCGCCCTGCGGCAGCTGTCTCGGTCAAGGCTGCCGAGTAGAGGTGATGTGGGACAAGCCGCCATACTTCTGAATTGTCACACCTTGTCCTCCCTAGTGCTTATGATCCAACCCGCTGAGCTGAGCAGCTTCTGCAGGACCTCAAAGTTCTCTTCTTCATGCTTCTTTCTGGCTGCTGATGCGGGCTGCTCGTTTTCAGATTTACCGTGCTGGATCCTGACGTGTCTGTCTTTCTGCTCATCTCCCTCAGGCCCTCCGGACGTGGATCAGCCCTGTGAGCCCAGCCTGCAGGCCTGGAGTCCCGAACTCCACCTGTACCACATGAACATGACAGTCCCCTGCCCCGCGGAAGGCTGTAGCCTGGAGCTGCTCTTCCGGCACCCTGTCCAGGCCGACACCCTCACCCTGTGGGTCACCTACCTGTCCATGGACTCCCCCCAGGCCCTGTTCGATGTGGAGATCTTGCTAGAACACCGGGAGTCTGTGCACCTGGGCCCCTTAGACACATCCTGTGACACCCCGCTCACCGTCAAACTGCATGTTGACGGGGAGGTGTCGGGCGTGAAAGTGTACACCTTCGATGAGCGGATGGAGATCGACGCTGCTCTCCTGGCTTCGCGGCCCCGCAGTCCCCTGTGCTCTGGCTGCAGGCCTGTGACATACCAGGTTCTCCGCGAGCCCCCATTCGCCAGCGGCTCGCCCGCCGCGGTGACACATCCTCACAGGAAGTTCACGGACGTGTGAGTTGGGCTTTTCTAAACCATGGGGCTTCTTGAGGTTTGGGAGTGGGCTTTGCTTCCTTCCCCCGCCCCCCACCTGCCCAGTTTTTTACACCGTGACATGTTCACGGTGTAATGTTCAGAATCTTAGAGGGGGATTTTATTCTAAAGTGGCATATCCGAGATGAAAAACAGAAAACATTCCCTAGACAGGGCCAGCAGGTAACCTGACTGACGCTGCCAGACGATGGTACGCGAGGCATTTCGGTTCGACTGGAAGTAATCGCCTCAGCTCAGTAGATCAGAGTCAGATACTCCTCGCTGGTGACACAGTTTCGTGTCTGATCCCTCGCTGTAACTTTCAGATCATCTGCCACGGTTCCTGCGACCCTGGGAGGTCCCAGGCAGCTCGCCCACAGCGAGGCGAGGAGGCCGGGGGTCCTGAGACGGCGAACTCCGTTTCATGACTCACTCGCACTGTGTGCTTCATGTTTTCCTCGCTTTCTCGTCCCTCCCTCCCTCTCTTGCTCTTCCAACTCTCCTCTTCCTTCTGTTCTTTCTACAATTAGCTGTGTTCCTGGCACTGTGTGCTCCGTGCCGGGGACATGGACTCAGATAAGGTCATCGGCTTAAAGGAGTTCAGTGTCTGGAGCCGGAGACTGGTATCGCCAAAGACAAATTCTCCCTACCTCGTGATCTTCCTCAGAGACTGCCCCGCGGGCAAAACGTGGGGTAGAACAAAAGTTTTATCCGAGGTGCTGTATTGGTTAGTTTCTGTTGCATGAGAAATAGTCACTCAACATAGTGAGTTAAAACAACAAACACTGTTGCTTATGATTCTAGGGGTTGGCTGGGTGTTCTCATCCGGACTGGCTCGGCCAGGGCCGGGTGGCCTGGGCCGACCTCACGCGCACGCTGGAGGCTCAGCTCCTGCGTCTGGGGAGACAAGGCCTCTTCCCACACGATCTCTCATTTTCTAGTGGGCTTTGCCCGGGCTTGTCCTGGTGGCAGTGAAAGGGTTTCCAGCAGCAGGGAGGGCACGCCCCCAAACGCTCGCATTTTTCAAGCCTCTGCTTGTTACTCATGACGACGTTCCACCAGCCAGAGCAAGTCACACAGCCAGTTCCAGAGTCCAGGGGTGGCAGGGCAGACTCTTATCTCTCGATGAGAGGAGCAGTGAAGTCACATGGCAGAGGGGTGTGCATTCAGGATGGGAAGCATCGTGGTCCTTCTGCAGTCTCCCACAGCTCCAGAAAAGTAAGATAGTGTTCTCCTTGAGCTTTGCTACAGTTTTCTTCCCATATTCGCTCTCTGAATTAGAACTAGAGGACAGCGAAATGGTCAGAAAGCTAATGCAAATGAGAAGGTCGATCACGGGATGACTGAAAAGAGTATTATCTTTTAATATTTTTTTATTATTTTTTTTTTACTAGGCACAGTTGGCTTGCTTACTTACTTTATTTATTTACTTATTTATTTTAACAGTAAGGCACATATATATTTACACCGTGTATTCACCCCATAGTTAGAGATTTCTTTCTGTCACCACATATTTGGCCCCCCTTTCCCCCTCCCCCCCCCCCCTCCTC